ATTTAGTTGGTATGTTGTTGTTTGTTTTTAGTTTATTTTTCATTTATTTAGGATACGATACACTCTAATGTTCATCTTGTTCCGACTGTTCCAATACAAAGTTGTAGTAGTATAGTCAACAAAAACGATCTTGGTGGAAGCGTAGCACTGATTGAACGTGGGGAATGTTCGTTTGTAACAAAAGCGATCAATGCGCAAGAAGTTGGTGTTATCGGTGCTATTATTATGGATAATGATAAAGATAATAAGCAAGCAGTTATCGATATGTTAGATGATCAGACAACACGAAATGTTAAAATTCCTGTGATGTTTATCACGTATGATGACGGGTATGCGATTTTTGGATAGTCTTCTAATTGATAAATTATGTGAAGTTTATTCATTTTAGACATATGATACTACAGTCAATAAAGCGAAATAATTTTATTGGTGCTCTTATTAATATACCACTTAATTTAAGTCATACAGATGTGTTCAAAGCAAGAAAAGCTCCTTGGTCTTATTGGTTGTGACGAAAATCGACCAAATGTATGTTTTTCATCTGGCAAGATTTTTCTTTTTTCTAAAAATATTCATCATTTTTTATGTTTTAGCTTTTGAGGAAAAAAACGATTTGAAGTTTCTAGATTTATGTACGATGAAGTAGTATGCAATATATACGATTTATAGCTCGGTGAAATTAATCTCGCATCTGTATTTTTTTTAATTTAATCAAAATGATGCATTTGTTGTCTTTGCAATTCGTCTTGTGGACGCATTCTTTGTTTTCTTTTTCTCAACTGCAAATTATGTTTTTCTTTTGTACTATATTAATTTGTTTGATGTTGTTGTGCTTGTTGATAAATACGAATATAAGTCATATCAATAGACTAGTTTTATAATTCGCTGAAAGATGAAAAATAAACATGTGTAATTGTCAGAATCGCTGTGCTCGATCACAAGCCCTTCTGTTATACTTGCATCCAGTGACGTAGCCAGGATTTTTGGAGTGGGGGAATCAAATTTCATTTTATCGATTTAAAATCGAAAAAATAGTCCTATGGAAAATCGACGATTTGCTCGCCCCCCCCCCCTGGCTGCGTCACCCAGTATATTTTTTAATGAAGATTGTACTCACTGCTCCATTACTTACTAGAGATGAGAAAATGCGTCTAATGTCTTTTAAAATGTTCGACAGGTGTACTTAATTTTCGAAAAATGCCTACATATTATGCTGTGGTCTCTTTCACAATATGTCGGGAGTTTAACTACCTCAGTTAGTCATAGCGAAGGGAAAGTTTCATTGTTCGTTGACATGTATGCGAGTGTATGTCAGATCAGTTGATTGTCGCCTACCTTATACTGTCGTCTATACATTTTTTCTTCGTTACGAAGAAAGCCACGTTTCAAAACCATTTTCAGTTGTTCCCAGTTCTTATGAATATTAAATATCTAACGAGACTGCTTTCGAAGTTCAAAATCTGTTGAAAAGCAAAAAGAGCAAAAAATTCATTTATTCATCATTTTTCTGTCTGAATAATTTTCTGAAGAAAAACTTGTGAAATACGTATGTTTTTATAGTCTATCGAAGTTGATTTTGTCGCGCAAGACGATAGTGGTGTATATTGCAACGAATAAAATATTGAAAACTTCAAATAGTTGCATATGAAAATATTCAGTTTCCTTTCTTGATTTCTAACGAGAGTGCAGAACATGATTTAGTGCTACTGTAGCAGATAGCTGAGATAAAAACCTTACCGAAATTTAATATCAGTTCGGTTAAGTATCACGATCATATTTTATCATATCACATCTTTTATACATTCAAGAACAGAACAAGAAAACATACAAATATCATTCTATTTTTTTCTATATTTTATATTTCGGAACCAACAAATTCATTTTTAACAAAGGTAAAAAATAGTTTCCACGTGATTTGTGAGGCGAATGGGTCTAATATGGTCATGCACTTTTTCTCGTCAAACGGACGTCAGCTTAGATGGAATGAAGATAAAGTGTTTGGCATAAAAATGAGCTCGTTCATATGAACTACTTAACTTTATCTGAATTAATGTCTACACAATAACACTTTTATGCCGTGTATATGAATGATAGTTATTCTCAATTTAAACTGTGTTTATAGGAAATAACTCTCAGATTTCTTTAGTTTTAGAAAAAATGTGGTTGTTTTGATATATACGACACACGTCACAATATTAACATGTCAACAGTTGAACCGTTCATTATGAAAAATTCTTCTGTCATTGAGGAGTGTTCATCAGACATCAATATGCTACCATTATCAATATTACCGGAAGGTATCAAAGACTAGCCCTTGTACTGGCCATATTAATTTAGATTTCCCATTTTTTTTCTAGTAAATGTTAATCAACCCAAACTGACAGATGAGATCGTTCCTGATGATCTTTTGTGTGTAACTTGCCATGAGAAGATTACTTCTTTTGTTAACCAATTCTTTCTTTAAGAATTGAATGGAATCAATTATTTAATGATTTTGATTATGATATAGTTAGAAATAATATATTATCGAGAAATTTAACACATATTACATTCAATACGGTTCTTTGGAGAGTAAGTATATTGAACAAAATAATGAAAATATCTGTACGATGAATAAAATATCCTTTCAGATTTCCCTTCATTGTCTTCCACGTAATCCTATTCAATGGATTGATGTTCTTCATGATTCACGTCAAACTTATGAAAAACTTGTGCAAAAGGTAAGTGAGACCATCAAATATTTTCAATTTTTTTTGGATATAAATTATTGTTTTTTATATTTTACAAAGTTCAAAATTGATCTGTATGCTGCTGATACACAAGATTTAACAATTAATAATCCACTCTCACAAGATGATAAAGTAAAATCGTTATACAAAAAATGCTTTTGATTTTTTTTTTTATTATTTTTTGTATCAGAGTATTTGGAAACAATATTTTCTTGACGAAGAATTGAAAGCCATTATCACTCAAGATGTTCGTCGAACGTAATTATTATTCCCATTTTTTAATATCTCTTTTATTTCTTGAAATAGATAATTCATGCTAGAGTCTGAAATAGGAGTAATATACAGTTCCTTTTTTCGTAATCTTTCGAGTTAGAGAATTTCCTTAGATGTACACTGATTTTCTATATTTTATAATTATAAACAGTTTGTTCAAACTTACTACTATTTTTTTTAGTTGTCCAGAGATTACTTTTTTTCATAATCCTCGAGTGTCCGATACATTGTTACAAATATTATTTGCTTATAGTAGAAGTCATAATAATACACCATACAGGCAAGTGAGTGAGGGTTTTGTGATTGAGAACGAATGGTGCAATCTGAAAATCTGTTCTATTTTTGTTTTCAGGGAATGCATGAAATTCTAGCACCAATTGTGTATAATTTACATTATGAAGGAATTAAAGTGAAAAAATCTAAAAATGCAAAGTAATTTTTGGTATGATAGTTGAATGTAATATCTTGTATATTGTTTTGAATTTTAGTTCTCTCATGAAGAGTTTATATGATTCCAATTATTTAGAACATGATGCTTAGTAGGTAACATTTGTGTTCCTAGATATATGTATAGATTGTTAGATTTTTAAATGTTCATTGCTTCATAGTGGTATATTTGAAAAAATTATGGTCCATCTGAAACAATGGTATGATATTAAAGAAAATAATTTAAATCAAAAAAAGGTAATACTTTAATTGTTTTGAACACTTAAACTGACACTTAGTATTTGATTTCAGAATGAAGCAAAACAACCATTCCAAAAGATGCAAGATATCAATACACAATCGAATGAAATTGTCGTACGTGTAAATCAAATATTTGAACAATTAAGAAATTATGATCGATTTCTACATTGTAAACTATTAGACCTTGGCATAGATCCACATATCTACGGAATGTAAGTGTAATAAATTGAAATAGGAAAGACATAATAATTTTTTCTGATATAGACGTTGGTTACGATTATTATTTGGACGCGAGATTCCATTCGAATGTATTCCTGACGTATGGACTGTGATATTCTGTTTCGATGAACATTTTAAATTTGTTGATTACTTTTTTGTGGCATTATTAATGGAATTAGGAAATTTATGTAAGTTATTTTTCTAGTTAACTTGTTTAACAATGAAAGTAGGTATTTTGGACTATTTGCTATAACAGCTGTAGTCCTGCACATGTTTTAATACTGTAAAAATCAACAAATTCCTAGGATTATATAACAAATCTCGTTTATTTTAGTGTCAAAACGTGATTATATCAGCTGTTTACAATTACTTATGCAACATAATGTGATATCGAATGCTGAACATGTTCTTCGTCAAGGTTTAACGATAGCTGGACGACAGGTTAAATACAACAATCTTCTTTAACGAACTTGTAATGATTTTTTCTTCTTGTTAATAGCTGCAACCGTTATCAGAAGAACTTCAATCAAATATGAAAGGGACAGAAACTAGTCGAATGAACAATGAACATTATCGTACGTAAATCGGTGATGGACATTCTAAGGTTGAGTCAAAATCAATCTCATTTTCGTTTCAGAAGCTTCTTCTAGGAGGGAATCTAATAAACAACAGCAATCAGTGCCAAGACAAAAATCAGTGAATCAAATGGCAGAACCAAAACGATTATCAACAGCTACAGCAACAAACGATTATTTTCAACAAGAAAATGCCAATAACAGTCATCCGTTATCACGCATTTCAACATCATCAAACTCATCCTTTGGATCACAGCTGTCAACAAAGTTGTCCACGAGTCTCTCGAGTAGCCTGCTATCATCTGAATTAGATGTAATTCAACAATGTGATACTATCGGATCAAAATAAAATGCAGTCGGTTGCTTTTCAAATAATGTTTCAGCAAAAAGAGATGCAAATCTTCTGTTTTCACTAATCAGTAGAGCAGATCTAGACACATCTTTTTTGGAAACAAAACAATAAGATCCGTCTAGTTCTCGAAAATTTAAAGTGCCGGTAATATACATAGGAAACACCTACAATACTGAGTATGGTAGGTTTTCTCCGTGTGTATAAAGATAAACAGTTCAAATTGTAATAGTTCAATAGTTTGAAGTAACAGATTACATTCTATTTTGAATTCCATAATAGTTTTTATCTAAATATTACTACACATTTCTTTTTCTAAAAATAGCTGTGGCCAGAACGAACTATTCGTCAACAATTGGATGATACACGAACAGTTCAAAAGTATTGTGCTTATTTTATGGATAAATTTTTGGGTACGCTGTACGGTTATTTAATACAATTAATTAATTGAAAAATGAAACTCATTTTATTTTAGATCGATTACAAACTAACATCTGTGAATTAACATCACCAAATGAAGATGAATTATTAATATCACTGTCAGGATTAAAACAGGTAATGTTCAAAAATGATAATTTACTAAATATATATCCAACTCTTTTTTTTTTCGTTTAGATTT